GATGGGATCATAAGCCATACCACGAGTTGTAAACTCCCGGCGCTCGGCCCCTCCGGACGGCATAGTATTTGGACGGCATATGCGGTGATAGTATGGGTGTCAGTGATGTCTTGGGGACCAATTCGGTGATGATATGAGTGAACCTCAATCGGAGGGAACGTACGAAACGCGCCGTTATGTCGGAGTCAAGTGTTTCACTCGCTTTGCATTTGTGGCACAAAATTGAGTCAAACTTTTAAATACAGTTTGTTTTCATCCGATATAATACAGTCAACACTCGCTATAGTGAACACAGGATTTAATCGCACATATTATCGTGTGTGTATCATATGAATGGGTTAGTGGTAGGGTCTTAATTATTAATCTTGGTAATTTGAAATTAGATTTATGTTGTATGAGGGTTAATTAATTATTTAATTTAGTTTGTTATATACCGGGAGTTGACTATAAATTAAATCATATGTGTTTCTGTCCACAAATAACGTGCGCTTAATGTGCGGTAATTTAAAAGTTAGACAAAACTTTTGTCACAAAAATAATTACAAATTTTAGTAAATATTAAATATTTATTTATAAACTCTTTTTAAATTTAATTATATTCTATACACATATTTGGTATCAAACTATTTATATCTTAAATTAAAAGTCGATGTTCACTGGTGGACAGGTACCTACACCAAGGGATAGGAGGGGAAGGTGGCGATACCGCACTGATTGCTCTTATTGCGGGACATCTTGATATACCCGCCGTCACCCCATTGGGTGCCCCACGAGTTCTTCACAATCCAATAGTCCTCTTTGGTGTCGGCAGTGGTGCCATAGCCCACCACAAGCACCTCGTGGTCTAACTGCACGGAACTACACTCCTGTTCGTCATAAACCCCTTGGGAGTAGAACTGGAAACTCTTGAGGGAGGCGTCGATAGCGACAGACACCGGGCCCACAGTCGCCACCGCCTCCATCAACTTCTCCTCACTGCCGATCGGGAAGATCTCCACAAACCCAGAGTCAGTGGCGCCGATGTCTCGCGATTTGTATCGACATTTGCGGTCCTATTGGGTGGGAATGTGCGGTTAGTTTAGGCGTATGGAGTGGACCGGTAGGTATACCTTAGCCTCGTAGGGGTAGGCGTTTTCGGTGTCAATGCCTTGATTCCCATTAATATATGCGAAGGCGCCGGCGGCAGTCCCCCCCTCACAGCCATTGTTACCGTAAATGTGGGAACAGTCGATCAGATTCTGTTCGGACAGGGATGTCATAAAACCCAGTTTGCGGTAGTGCTGGCCTTCCAGTGCACCAGTCTATTAAAGTAAAGTTGTACCCGGACAGTTATTTAATAAAACTTTATGTAATCGGTATTATATGTAACTATAATGATAACACATACGGCACTAAACGCCCAACAACTGCCGCACTGACCTATGAAAGGGGGAAAGGCATCAAAAACAGTTAGTCAACTAATCGGACAGTCATTATATAGTGCGGCACACATACCCTGGTTCTTAACTTCGGTCACATAACCCTTCGTACGCCAGTCCACAGACGGGGGCACAACCACGTTGTTAGGGGACAGGTATGTGGAGCCGTTATAAGAGTCCAGTTTGTATGACCTCTTGAAGCCATTCATAACTGACA